GACTGAAGCCTTTGCCACACGCATTGCATTTGTGTGGCTTCTGTCCAGCATGGGCTCTCTGATGATCTTTAAGTTTTGAACTCCAGCTGAAGCCATTCCCACATTCCTTATAAGGTTTCTCTCCAATGTGAATTTTCTGATGGCCTTGAAGATTCAAATTTCGACTGAAGCTGTTACCACATACATAATGTTTATATGGTTGTTCCCTAGTGTGAACTATCTGAAGATCTTGAAAATGTGAGGCCAGATTGAAGCCATTACCACACTCCTCAGAATTACAGGGATTCTCTTCCATGTAAACTCTATGTTGAATATTAAGATTTGAACTACAAATGAAACCCTTTCCATGCTCAACACTTCTGTATAGTTGCTCTTCAGTGTGGATTTTCTGATGGACTCGAAGACACGGATTCTGATGAAAGACATTCCTATTCTCCTCATATTCATAAGGGTCATCCCTAGTTTGGACCCTAAAAATACTGTTAATGTCTAAACTATGACCAAAGGTTTTCTCATAAATGTTGCATCTACAGGATGCCTCCCCTGTGTGGATAAGTTCATAATTATTCAGAGAGGAGTACGGATTGCAGTTCTCACCGTATTCCCCACATTTGCATGGTTTCTCCTCTGCAAGCACTCTCTGATTGGATTGCAGACGGGAATTCTCAATGACACCATCATCTTCTCTCTGAATACTGTGATGAACATGAAGAGCTGACCTATAACCACAGCCCTTTCCACATGGCTTCCCTTCCAAGTTGAACTGTTGGTGAGCTTCAGAGCTGGAGTTATTCATGAAGGCTTTTCTGTACTCAGTACATGGGTCCAGCTTCTCCGCTGTTTGAATTGAGTCCTGATTAAGCAATGATAACTTCATTATATCTTCTCCACAGTCATGGCAGCTATAGTTTTTTTCTTTTCTGTGTACCCTCAGATTATCGCTGTGACGTGAGATCTGACTGAGGCTGTCACTTTTCCAGAAATTATTTTTCATTGAAATTTGCTGACATCTACACTGATAATTATGTAACTCCATCAGATGCATTTTCCTCCAAGAATACTGGGCCCTCCAAGATGGAAACTCTTGACTTTTTATGTGAGTCAATATATAGTTCTCATCTTCAGAAATCTGAACTGGCATTCCTGCCCAAACCTGGCAGAAGGAATCACCTTGTTCTTGCAATTGAGAATTCTCCCCCTGAAAGTCTTTCATGAGCTCTTGATGCCTGGTTAACCTGCCTGAATCTTGTTGCCAGGTCTGACAGGAGGAAAGCTCTTTGGGGGAAAGGTAGCTTAATCCCACTTCTTGAATGCTCTCCATCATTTGTTGATTCTTGCTTCCTACAAGGATAGAGAGAATGCAGATATATGCACAAGTAAATGCTTTTTTTAGAGATTTCAAGATTTTACATTTGGGTCATAACATGAAACTTGAATGAGCCAGAGGAAAATTCATGTCACTATTTCTAAGAATACTTAGAAAATGCCTCTTCTTTGGCTATACCAGGTCAGACTGAGTATCCTTAATCCAAAATGCTCCAAAATCGGAAACATTTTGAACACTCAACATGATGCTCCAGGGAAATGCTCATTGGATCACTTCAGATTAAGGATGCTCAACTGGTAAGTATAGTGAAAATATTCCAAAATCTGGAAAAAAAAAAAAGAGAAATCCCAAACACTTCTTTCTGGTCCAAAGCATTTCAGTTAAGGGATACTCAACTTGCATACAAGTAGGATCCACATAATTCAGGCTATCTGCATGCTGCAAAATCGGAGCTTTGCAACACAACCTGGACATCAAACATGATGGCTCTGTTCTAAAGGCCTAGTAGGCCGGACTCGGTGGCTCAGCCTATAATCCAACACCTTGGGAGGCTGAGGCGAGTGGATTGCCTGAGCCTGCGGGATCGAGACCAGTCTGGGCAACTTGGCGAGACCTTGTCTCTACAGTAAAATAAAAAATAGCTGGGTGTGGTAGCGCATGTCTGTAGTTCCGGCTACTTGGAAGGTTGAGGCAGAAGGATCACTGGAGCCCAGCAGGTCGACGCTGGGGTGACAGTGAGCGTGCGTGCCACTGTATTCCAGCCTGGGTGAAGGAGTGAGACTCCAATTAAAAAAAAAAGGCCTAGTAAAACCATAAATTTGTTATCATAATTTATTATGAGTTGCCTGGAGATTTAAAGGAGAAAAAGAGGAGATAGTCTCAAACTGGAAATAATATAGTTAAGAGTGGACAAATGCATTTTGTTTTAATAATGTTTTCTTTTATTCCTGGCACATGAACATGGTAATATTATCTGTTTGTAATGAGTGTGTGTGTTAAATGTTTTGCTGAAGAGGTAAACACAAACCTTTTCTCTAAGCTTGAGGCATCACAGGGCCTTTCTAATGAGCTGTTTATCCTCATGAAAATAATAAGCTCTTCTAAGTCACTGTAAGCCATTATCTGTTTTAACTCCTTTCAAAAGATATTTCACAATTACCAAGGGACACAGTGCAGGTCAGATTGGGAAACACTATGACAGAATTCAACTCAACAGACATCAGAAAAAAAATATCGCATCTGTAGGTGTCCCTTGAGGCACTCATCAGCCATGAACAAAATCCACTGAATACTGCCTTTGGCTTGTGTCATTTTACTGGAAAATTATCTTAATGTTTAGGAAATCTGAGGCACCAGAAAGAGTTGAAGGCACATATGGGTATAAATGGCTTGTCACCTAGTTATCAAAGCTCAGATTATAAGCAGATAGCAGATCTTCGCCTCCTGGTGAGAAGTATCCTTGCTGAGGCACTGGATAAAAAAGTTGAATGAATAACATGCACTCTTTTGATACTTGGCAGCATAGTAAATTTCTATAGTATCCAAAAAACAGGAAGATGGGATATTTTTCATTAATATTATCCTCAGACATAATTCTCGCTTATTTCTTTGTGTATGTCTGTCTGTCCACACTAGAATAGAACATCCAATGATATATTTGCGGACTGCATTCGCCTCACTGCCTACAACACTGCCTAGTGAGCAGCAGTTGTTGAAGAAACATTGATGAATAAATCATAGTTTGAGTCATTCTCACTCACAGAACTCAAAGGGCAGATACACGTAAGTTATTTTTAATGGGAAAGGAACTGGTAATGGTGGAAATTTTTCTGGAAAGTTGAAAGGTTGTACAAGAGGCAGAGTGATGCTCAGGTTGAGGCTGATAATAAGAAACACAAAGGTCATAAGAATCTTGTAAATGAAATGAAAGTATGAGAACTAAAAGACTCATAGGCAGAGCCCAGGGAATGAGTCTTTCTAATTCTTTTAAAGACAGGGTCTCACTCTGTCACCTAGGGTGGAGTGATAATAACTCACTGTAACATCAACTTCCTGGGCTTAAGTGATTCTTCTGCCTCAGCCTCCCAAGTAGTTGGGACTACAGGTGTGTGCCACCACACTGAGCTAATTGGCATGTCTAAGACATCACAAAATATTTATGAAAGGTGGTGTTAAAAGTTAAGGTTTAGTTAATGTTAACATATAAAATTGTTAGAATTGCAGCAACTATTAACACAATGTTTGAGACCCAAAATAAGCCTTAAAAGAATTAAAATTTACAATAAGAACAGCTGTCTGGAACCTATTGATAGAAACAGGAAGTTTTTATGTCCAGTGCTACATAATTATACCCTAAAAGAAGCAGAATTAAAGATGAGGAATTCTTAGGGACTATTTCTTAGAAAAATACCAACTTCTATTCAATTGTTCCTCTTTTCACTTTGGACAATGACATTCAACTTGGGACAGAGAAGACCAGAGTAGGAGGAACCTTATCTGTGAGAGACTCTTTAGAGATAATACTGGAGAAATCTAACTCACCAGTAGACCCATGGCATTTCTAAAAACTGAATGTGTACCATGAAGCGAAGGAAACTTCAACACTGAAAGAGTTTAATATATGTTCTGGAACTACTTTGGTCTTTATTTAAAAGAAAGTTCTTCTGTTGTGTTTCCTAAAGGTGCCCAAATGACAGCACAGCCTCAGGGTCCCTCAGAACACCAGAAGATAGATCAGATTTAGATGAATGGTGCCACTTTTGAATGTGTGTGTGTGAGGCTGAGCTTGGTGGCTCAGCCTGTAATCCCGCGCTTTGGGAGGCTGAGGTGAGTGGATTTCCTGAGCCCGCGGGTTTGAGACCTGCCTGAGTAGCAAGACCTCATCTCTACAATAAATCAGAAATTAGCCGGGCGTGGTAGTGCACATCTGTAGTTCCAGCTACTTGGAAGGCTGAGGTAGAAGGATCGCTGGAGCCCAGCAGGTCGAGGCTGCGGTGGCCGGGAGCGGCCACTGCACTCTAGTCGGGGCGACAGAGTGAGACTCCAACTCAAAAAAAAAAAAACAAACAGGTTATGGGATATTGTTGGATGTACAAATTTGGAATGTATGGCCTATAACTGTGAGAACATGAATGGTGAGGACACAATTAGTGAAGCTTGAAATCAATTTAAAAGAATGTAACATGCAACTAAAAAATAGGATAGAAAACATCAAAGGTGCATGTCAGGGCATTACTGCATGAAATGTGAAATGCTTGTTTCAGCTATGCAGACACGTACACATCCATAGGTCTGTCCTGGGTTACATCACATTCTGAGGGTCATGGCCAAAAAGTATGAAAACCACTGGTCTAAATCGTTAAGGAAGGTATAAACTCCTTAATCAAACAGACAAGGCTCAAATGGAAAGTTCAAATGTGAAAGTTTGGGAAAATATCAATATGTAGGCTTGTACCTCTTGGTTTCATGCCTACATGGACTGCAGATTAAAAATATAAGGAACAAATTATCACTTGAAATACATTCTTTCTGACCCTCAGGATGTATGAACCACAGAGTTCAACATCATCATTTCTCAGGCTGCAGTGTTTACCAGTTGGAAATTACATACCGGGTCTTAATGAGAAACAAGGTTTAAAAACTATCTAAAACCTATATTAACAGTTGTTTATTGAACAGCTAACCTGTGGGGAATAAAGAGAAAGCAATAACATGCCCTATTTTTGAATAGAGGATGGAGAAGGTAGGGTGCCACTCTTCGTTGTTCTTATGCTTCTTACTCTGAACCTTCCCTGCTCGGCATGGGGAAATGGAGCCTAGGGAGCAGGGATGCAGATACTGACATCGGAAGAGATGGGTGGGCAGCAACTTAGGAAATCCTACAAGGAAATAGACAGTTTAGGACTGTTATTTGTTGACACCTTTCTCTTTCCTGGTGTAAATGCAAATGGAGCTAGTTTTTTTAGAGAAGACTTGCCAAGACAATGGTTATAAGAATCATTTTTAAAATGTTTTTTCAGTTGGGCACAGTGGTTCTTGCCTGTAATCCCAGTACTTTGGGAGGCAGAGGTGAGAGGATTGCCTGGGCCCAGGGGTTTGAGACCAGTCTGAACAACTTGGCGAGACCTTATCTCTACAATAAATGAAAAAAATTAGTCAGACATGGTGGTGTGTACCTGTAGTTTCAGCTACTTGGAAGGCTGAGGTAGAAGGATTGCCTGAGCCCAGCAGGTCAAGGCTGCAGTAGCTGTAAGTGTGTCACTGCACACCAGCCTGAATGACAGAGTGAGACTCTGACTCAAAAAAAAAAAAAAAAGTCAGGTGCAGTGGCTCAAGCCTATAATCCCGCACTTTGGGAAGCTGAGGCAAGAGAATTGCCTAAGCTCATGGGTTCAAAACCAGCCTGGGCAACATGGTGAGACCTCGTCTCTACAATAAATCAAAAAACTAGCCAGACGTGGTAGCATGCACCTGTAGTTCCGGCTACTTGTAAGACTGAGGTGGAAGGATTGCCTGAACCCACCAGGTCGAGGTTGCAGTGGCCGTGAGCAAGCCACTGCACTCCAGCCTGGGCGACAGAGTAAGACTCCAACTCAAAAACAAAGAAAGAAAGAAATAAGTTTCTTCACCCATATGAATCAAGTCAGGTGGCAGGAAAGCCATTAGGGAATAATTACGTTTATTTTGGTTATAACTCCTTTTACACTCTGAATCCCTGTGTCAACAGGTAATTTATTACATAGAAATAAAATCACCCAAGGACATTAGAATCGGAATTTTTATTGCTGTACTGTCTGTATTCATTTAAAAGAAAAAAAATAAGCAATGCCCATCAGCTGGGAAATGGCTTAATGATGCATGTCGTATCCACATATGCATCCACCAAACACAAAAAAATAACAGAGATATAATCTTAGAGTGGGAGGGATTTCTCCAAGGTATCAGTGAAAGAGACAAATTAACATGTTAAGAATGTAAGTGATCAAATTTGTACATTGCTATAAGGTATATAAACATGCTAGTAAAATTAGCAAATTAAATAAGATCATTTAAAAGGTGACATGATCCCACTGATATCAGGCAGGAAGACTGGCACACCCTGGCCTTTGCCTGTTTTGTACAGCCTGGGAGCTAAGATTAATTTTTACTTTTTTTTTAAAGCAGGATTTATTGAGAGGACCAAAAAACTCTCACAGTGGGAGGGGACACAAAGGGGCTGCCCAATTTTTGCATTTTTAACATGGTATGAAGAAAACAAAGAATATGTATGGCAAAGAGGATATGTGGCCAGCAAAGCCTAAAGTAATTACTATCTGAACCTTCAGAGAAAAAGTTTGTTGAACCCTACTTTTTTTTTTTGAGTTGGAGTCTCACTCTGTCACCGTGCAGTGGCACGCTCACAGCCACCCCAGCGTCAACCTGCTGTGCTCCAGTGATCCTTCTACCTCAACCTTCCAAGTAACTGGAACTACAGGCGTGCGCTACCACGCCCGGATAATTTTTTGACTTATTGTAGAGATAAGGTCTCACCAATTTGCCCAGGCTGGGCTTGAACTCATGGGCTCAGGCAATCCTCTCGCCTCAGCCTCCCAAAGTGCTGGGATTACAGGCTTGAGCCATCACGCCTGGCTTCAACTCTACTCTTAAAAGCACCATGTAGGACCCTGAATCTTAACTGAGATGGAAGCCAAAAATTATAGAAGTAAATTAATTTACTTTGAAATTTTCTATTGTCACTTTTTTCCTTCCCAGGAGCAGTCTTTGCTACACAGTTGCAACAGTGGCTTTTGATATCAGACTCTTGAGGACTCAAGAAACATTAGCAAAATATTTGGACTCACATAAATGTCCAACTTGAAAATTCTACTTCAAGACTGTAGCTATGTCAAGATACTATTTATATGTCAGGAGATGGGAGGGTGAGAGGAGAGTAAAGAATGGAAGGATAAGACACTGGGCATATGAACATAAGAGTGTCTCACTTGAAACTGCTGCATGAGGAAGGCAAATCATGATGCTGGCAATAATAATTTTTGATGCTTCCTTTAGCTGATTGGCTAGTCTTGTCTTTTAGGATTAACAGCTACCTATCTATGAACACCCAAGGACAGCTAAACACTTAGGACAGGCATTCATTAGATGACAACCAACATTCTGCAGTATCCTTCAGTTATGTGGATTTATTCTATACTTACCAGTTGCTTCAAGCTGAATTGAAGAGAGCAAAGACTGTGCCTCTATTAACAAATTCATTCATTCAAGGCATAGAGAAAAGCAAGTCAAGGAACCTGACTTACAAGCATAACTGTTAGGTCTGAGGGGAAGACATGGGCAGGAACAGACCGAACAAGCACAGACAAAAAATAGTAGGAGCATATGGAAAGCCAGAGGAGCTTGAGGGGCAGACGCCTTAGGGCTTAACAGGCCACATGGATTACTTTAAATGTACTGTGTGAAATGGGCAGCTACTAAAGAGTTTAAACAGAGAAGGGGCGTGTTCTGACTCATGTCTCGAAGGGGCCCCCTGGCTGCTGTGTTCCTGCTGCACAGTTCTCACCTGAACACCCATTTCTCTGGGTTTCTGTCTCCACCATCAAAAGTTTTTCTTCTCTTTCCAACTGGGAAATCAGATCTGGTTTGAAGGGCTGATGGGCTGCAAAAAAGGCAAGGAGAGCAAAAGTGTTCAAGTTTGATAACGTCCAATTTGTCAAAACTAGACAAAAATGTATACTCAGACCTAAGTGTGGTTCTCTCCCTCATCCCTTCCACCCTGTCACCCCCACCTACTGTAAGAAACCAACTTCATGATCTTCTGATGAACGCTTCCTTCCCATGTTTTATAAGGTACGCAGATACAGACATACCCTGTATATTAACTTCTTTTCCCTTCTTTCTTACACGAATTGTAGTATATTACACTGTTAATACTCTTTTGTATTGGGCTATCCTTAGGGAATATTTCTAGAAATAAATTGCTGGGGAAAAATAAATACCTAGCTTTTCTAGATATTGTCAACTCCCCTTCCTTAAGGATTGTGTTCTTCTTTTCAGTGTATGAATGTATACTTCATTCCCCACAACTTTGCCAAAAAATGTATATAGAATTATGTTTTTGAATTCTTGCCAATCTCATGGTTGACAAATGGCATTTCAGCATAATTTTAATTAACATTTCTCTTTTTTTTTGGCGAGCAAGTCGGAGTTTATTTACAAAGCAAGGGTTACCAGCTCTCATGGGGGGGAGGGCCAGGGGTGGAAGGGGCCAGAGAGGAGGCCCAAGTGAGTTGCCAGACCTCTACCCCACCCCCCACACACACTCCCTTGCCAAGATGGTTGCCGGGGTCAAAGACCAGAACATTTCTCTCTCTCTTTTTTTTTTTTTTTGAGTTGGAGTCTCATTCTGTCGCCCAGACTGGAGTGCAGTGGCCGCTCCCAGCCACCGCAGCCTTGACCTGCTGGGTTCCAGCAATCCTTCCGCCTCAGCCTTCCAAGTAGCTGGAATTACAGGCATGCGCTACCACGCCCAGCTGATTTTTTGATTTATTGTAGAGATGAGGTCTCATCAAGTTGCCCAGGCGGGTCTCGAACCCGCGGGTTCAGGCAATCCACTCACCTCAGCCTCTCAAAGGCGCGGGATTACAGGCTGAGCCACCGAGCCCGGCTCATTTCTCTTATTTTGAATGAGACTGAGTAGTTATTCTATTCATATGTATAAATATTTATATGTATCGTGTATGCATATGTACACACACACATACCCATCTCCTTGCTCTAGCCCCTGAGACCAATAAACAAAGATACTACAGTGACCATACCTAGCAACCAGACCTTGGTGCTAAATATCATTTCCTAACAAAAGTTGAGCACAGAACACCCTTACTATACTATTTTGTAAGGAAGTGCTAAAAAAAAAAAAATGTTGGGAGCATGTTACAAGGGCACAATAGCCAGCTTAAAGGGGCCAAATTTAGGACAAAATAATTATAGCAATAAACACTTTTGATTTTATTTGTGCAAATTTGTGGGGTACATGAGAAATTTTTTACATGTATATAACACATAGTGATGAAGTCAGGATATAGAGAATTTTTTTTAAAACTTACAAGTTCCTACAAATAACAAATAAATGAATGACTGAGAAGGGGACCTCTTGTTTACTGGAGAATGCCAAGTGATGACTGCTAAATGCGAAGGAAGTGCCAAATCCTTTTGTAACTTGCATGGTACAGATAAGGCAAGAATCATCACTGGGTGCTAATACAGGGAAATATTTGTGTTGCCCTACAATTATAAGGGGGGAAAAGTAATTACGTAGTGGAAAAAATATACAACATCTTGACTGAAGGACCAAAATTAACATTCCTGGTGAGGGATAGATGGACACCATGTGCCTTCAGATGTGATTCTCAAAAGGACACACTCCACCTATGTAGTGTTCCTGCCTGTGTGGATCATCTATTTTTGGGACACATTAATTTTGAAGGAAACATTAGGAATGTTCTATTAAAAATAGGGGGAGGGGTGACCATATTCTCAAAAAATGCCACTGTCATAAAAGATAAAAAATGCTGTGGAAATGTTCTAAATCAAAGAAAATTTGAAGAAACATGACAACTGGACTAGACTTGGCTAGATCCTGTTTTGGAGGAAGAAAAATATGCTTTAAGGAATATAACTGGCTTAACAGATAAAACTTGAGCATAAATTATATATTAAAGTATTAGAGGCCAGGTGTGGTGGCACTTGCCTATAATCCCAGCACTTTGGGAGGCAGAGGTGAGAGGATTGCCTGAGCCCAGGGGTTCGAGACCAGCCTGGGCAACTGGGCGAGACCTTATCTCCACAATAAATCAAAAAATTAGCCAGGCATGGTGGCGCGTTGTTGGGAGCCAGCCTTGGAGGCCCGCCTGATGACAAAGTCCAGGTGCGCTGAGGACCCCCGGCCGCAAAGCGAGTCCAGGCAGCTGAGGCCCTTCTGTCTTCCGTCTTTGCTGTTGATACAGCTGAAGAAATTCTGTGCAGTCGTGGAAGAAGAAGATGGCATGTTTATGCGAAGAATCACAGGTAACCTGGAAATGTCATGGTTTATTTTTCCATTTTCCCACTATCCGCTTGGCCTTTTCTAACATATGCAAGGGTTAAACTCTGAAGCACATCAAGAATGCTTTCTTTCACTTGGTTATAAGTTACTAGATATTGCTTAAGTAATAAATGATATAAGTATATCCACTCCTTATTTGATTTAGGATTATGCAGTTTAGTGTTTAGACATAAGGATTTTTAGAAGCACAAGTTTATAATGAATTCATTATAAGTTCTAACACTTATCTAGGAGTTATGTAGGTGATTTATAACACTGCTTTCACTAACTTAGGATAAGGATTAATATTAAGGTTTCTACTTAATTCTATAGTTAAAACTCTAAGTTAACATTTATAGAATAGGTTTTCACTAAACTCATAATATAATAATCAGACACTTTTATGACAGATCAGCTAAAACAGAAAGTAACCTTGAGGGGCCTGGGAAACATTAATAAAAGCTTCTTTTGAGTTCTCTTTAGAAACAAGCACTGCAAGATAAGAGAAAAGTAACGAGGACATCTGGACAAGGGAGGTGATCACAGGACTCTGAAGAACATAAGAGCCTAAGATGAGAATATTCCTGACACATAAAGAAATATACACTTAAAGAAACTTTCTTGAAACATTTGTAATTTGGGACATTGGACTGAGAGTGTCATTGTTGGCTTTATGAATAAGAAGTTGTCTGGAGACCTATGGGAATCTTGGTTTGTTCGCTACTAAGACCACTAGCTGGTAACTTTTAAAAGATATGAATGTGAAAGAGTTTTCTTTGTCTTGCCCCTTCGAAAATGGTATAAAAGCTCTGTATTAACTAGCATTAAATTGTCATCTGTTCAAGAAGCAGGTGTCCGGGTATATGATCGTCGTTCGCCTATCCGTCTCACTCTGTCGCCCATATTGGAGTGCAGTGGCCACTGCCGGCTACCGCAGCCTCGACCTGCTGGGCTCCTGCGATCCTTCCGCCTCAGCCTTCCAAGTAGCTGGAACTACAGGTGCGCGCTATCATGCCCGGCTGATTTTTTGATTTATTGTAGAGATGAGTCTCACTGCCCAGGCGGGTCTCAAACCCGCGGGCTCAGGCAATCCACTCACCTCAGCCTCCCAAAGGCGCGGGATTACAGGCTGAGCCACCGAGCCCGACTCTGTAATGGGAATTTTTAAAGAGAATATTCCTTTTTATAAAACAGACTGTACAGTAAAGAATTAACTTTGTTCAAAGAAAGATCTGGCCTTTGCCCTTGGGTCACAAGAGGCGATCTCTAAGTCTCTAGAATGACTTGCCTGATCAAAAGTGTCCTTTGTTTACCCAGAGAGGCCTTGGGTCACACCAGGAAGTTAAACAATATGATTTATGGTGGGGATTTTGAGCCATGTGGTATTAGTTTAGCCTTTGGAGAGACTGGAATCTAAGGTCAGTCACCCAGATGGTCAACCATATCTACACAACCAAGCTCCCATAAAAAGTCTGGACACTAAGGCTCCGGTGAGCTTTCTTGGGTCAGTAATGAACTCCATGTGACTGTCACACATCATTGCTGGAAAGAGTTAATGCTGCCCACAACTCCACTGGGAGAGGATAACTTGAAGCTTCAAGCTTGGAACACTCCTGGACTCTGCCCCATAGGCCTTTTTCCTTGGTTGATTTTAATCTGCTTCCTTTCCCTGTAATAAGCTATACCCGTGAGGATAAAGCTTACACTGAGTTCTGGGAATCCTTCTAGCATATTATCAACCCTGAAGGTGGTCTTGGGGACTCAAAACTTTCAACTAGTATCAGAAGTGAGGGCGATTTTGGGGACTCCCATGGGTGCAGAGTGCTCTTGTTCTTTTTTTTTTGGAGTTGGGAGTGTCACTCTGTTACCCAGGTTGGAATGCAGTGACATATCACAGCTCACTGAAGCTTTGACCTCTTGGGCTCAGATGATCCTTCTACCTCAGCCTCCTGAGTAGCTGGGAGTATAGGATGTGTCACCAAGTCAGGCTAACTTTTTAATTTTTTGTAGAGATGAGGTCTCACTGTGTTGCTTATGCTGATATCAAACTCCTGGGCGCAAGCAATCCTCTACCTTGGTTTCCCAAAGTGCTAGGATTACAGGTGTGAGACACCATGCCTGGTCTGTTCTTGTTCTTTTGCAAGTTTTCTGTAAGTTTCTTTTTCTTAACTTTTATTGAAAAAAAACTGAGGGGGTGTGCTGGATCCCTTTTCAGAAAAGCCGCTTCTCATACAAATGGAGACTGTGGTGGACACCACCTTCCACCTGAGCTGATGATTCTTTTCTCAAACTTAAGCTCCCCAGAGTACATCATGGCTCGGACTTGGGTCAAGCTCTTGGCACCAATGTCCTGGCAGGAGTGTTGGATGCCAGCAATCAGGTAGGGAACAAATTTGTGGATGGATCCTTTGTCCTGCACAGCCCTAGACATACCCTGAGCCACTTTGATTTTGTCAGCTTCACTGAAATATCGGTTCTGGCTACTGAAGTGCTTATCCATGGTATCAAGAGAACCCATACCACAATATTTCTTTAGCCAGATCCCATCGGAGAAGAAGTACTGCAATGTGACCACATTGCCTCCAATGACTTGGAGATTGGGGCATTTCTCTTTGATGTACTTGATCATATTGATCTGGAAGATGGAGTTTCCCTGGGAAAAGTTCAAAACCACTACATCCATACCAGCCTGGGCAAACAAGTCTAGCCTGGACTTGTCATCCTCATGAGTGCCAATGGCTGCCCCACACAGCAGCTGTTTCTTGGCGTCTTTAGAGGCCAGTGGGTAATCCCAGTTCTTCTTCAGGTCTGTCCAGGCAATGGTGGCCACCAGCTTGTTGTCTTCACTTACAACGGGCAACTTACCCTTCTTGCTGCACTGCAGAATTTCGTTTGCTTCCTGCAGTGTGATGCCTGCAGGAGCTACCACCAAGTCTTCCCTCTTTGTCATGATCTCTTCCAGGAAAGTCATGTTCCTCCTCCCTGAGAAAATCAATGTCTCTTGAGGAGAGGATGCCCACCAAGCGGCTACCCATCTGGCTTGTGTCTGTGATTGGGATACCACAGAAACCATGTCAGGCCTTGGCCCGCACATGATCCTTGATGCTGAAAACCACAGGGTCTGTGATGAGTCCCTGCGCGTATTTCTTCACTTTTCGAACTTCACTGGACTGGAATTCAGGTGTACAGTTGTGGTGTATGAAGCCAATACCTCCTGTGAGTGCCATTGCTATGGCCATCCCAGCCTCTGTGACTGTGTCCATGGGGGAGGAAACCAACGGGGTCTTCAGAGTTATCTTTTTGGTCAAAGCCGAGGTCAGGTCCACCTGGTCTGCAGTGAAGTCGATGTACCCAGGGAGAATGAGAAAATCGTTGTAGGTGAGGCCATCCCCACAGATGAAGAGCTGCTGTGCTGTGAGTCCGTCATCCAGCACATAGAACATGCCTCCGCTAATCAGGTAGTTGGCCATGGGCAACACAGGGGACCGCTACATGTCTCCAAGGACCGCGCCTCAGAGCGTCTGTAAGTTTTAAGTTTTGTTTTGTTTTGTTTGAGTCAGAGTCTCACTCTGTTGCCCAGGTTTGAGTGGAGTGGCACAATCAGGGCTCACCACAGCCTCAACCTCCTGGGCTCAGGTAATCCTTCTGCCTCAGCCTCCTAAGTAGCTGGGACTATAGGTACGTGCCACTATACCTGGCTAATTTTTAAAAAAAAAAAATCTGTGGTCTTGCTATGTTGCCCAGGCCTATCTTGGACTTCAGGCCTCAAGCAATCATCCCACCTCAGCCTCCCAAAGTGTTGGGATTACTGGCATGAACCACTATGCCTGGCCTAGCTTTAAGTTATTTACAAATACAGTGTTTAAAAAAAAACCCAAAAATACCTCAAAAAAGTTAGGATAGTGAACAATTATTGGTGCTCCGAAAAACAAAAAAGCTGAAGCCACTTATGAAACTGATTTCATGACAAATCAATGGAGCAGGAACACAATTTGTCCATTTACAGCTCAAAGGGCAGACTTCTGCCTGGAGAGAACCATTCGAAACATCCTGTGTTGCACAGGAATTATTAGGACATTCAGGTACTCAAGCTCAGAGGATGCTTTCCAAAGTCCCAGAGTTTCAAACACCTGAACACAGAAAGACACCCCAGGAAGCTGCTGTTGAGTAACAAAGGGCACCTGTCCTCACCCACGGAGAGCAGGTTCCTGAAGTTCTCCAGCATCACATCTCGGTACAGCTTCCTCTGGGCAGAGTCCAGCAGCCTCAGCTCCTCCTCGGAGAAGACCACAGCCACGTCCTTGAAGGTTACCATCTCCTACAATACCAAACACACTGTTTAGTGGAAGAGAAAAATGTGCTGAGAAGGTACAAAGAATGGAACACGCCATTCTGGATTCTGAGGGCCTTCCGTCAAATTTAAGAAGCAGCCTTTATTTGTCTTCCACATTGCTAATTACGTCCACCAAGAGAGCTGTGGGACAAGAAACCTCACACTTTAAATTGCTGCCTTTTGTTAGCACTCCTGTAGATAAGTCCCTGGAACTCTGTTGCATTCTTGGCTATTCATATTTTAGGACTCTCAGGCACCCAAGTAAAGAAAACCATATTATTTATTTAAAATTTAAAATATTTTAAGGCTGGGCACAGTGGCTCAAGCCTATAATCCCAGCACTTTGGGAGGCGAGGCGAGAGGACTGCCTAATCCCACGGGTTCAAAACCAGCCTGGACAACATGGTGAGACCTCATCTCTACAATAAATCAAAAAATTAGCCGGGTGTGGTAGCGCGCGCCTGTAGTTCTGGCTACTTGGAAGACTGAGGCGGAAGGATCGCTGGAGCCCAGCAGGTTGAGGCTGTGGTGGCTGGGAGTGTGCTTCTGCACTCCAGCCTGGGCGACAGAGACTCCAACTCATAAAAACAAAACAAAAAAATATTTTAAATGTTATTAATGATGTCATTTGCCCCACAAAAGCATTAGTTCCAACAGTGTCAGATAGTATTTGTTTCCCCTCTTTTTTCTACATACACACATCACTTATTTAACTTGCCAAGCATTCAGGCTATCAGTCATCCTTACTGTTTAAGTATGTGGTTCATCTTCTGTGCCATACCTGGGAAATGCAAAATGCATGGTGTGGCGATGGCGGGCACGGCTCTGGAGCCGGACATCTGTGTCGACATCTGGATGCTCTGCCCTACGCTAGCTGTATGATCTTGTAAGATTTCTTATCCTCTCGTTTGTATGCTGATGCCTATGCATTAGGGTCCTGGTAATAAAACTTGTGACCACATGTATAGCATTGAGGAACAATGCTTGACACACAGTAAGTACCCAATACATGTTAGTGACATTGTTAATATTTCCATCATATCTTCTACCCCATTTCAGGGCTGCGTAGTCATTCAAGGAACGAATAATCCAGAATATAATGCTCTGACCTAACTAATGCATGTGTAGTTTTAGGTTACCTATGACAAACAATGTTGCACAAATATCCTTTTACACTGACGTTAGTCCTCAAAATCAATACCAAAAAGTAGAAATGGCAATGTTGAAGAATAATGACCCTTAAAGTTCTGAAATTTTAATAGCAGGTGTTTTCCCAAAAACAGATCTTTCCAACTTAGTCTTCTTCTAAGAAAGTATAAATCCTATACCAACACTGGATATGAATACTGAAAAGAAAAGAAACTTTTATAACCTCAGAAATAAAATTGGAAAGTAAAAACTAGTATTTTTAAAAAAATTATCATGAAGTTGATTAGTAATAAAGATCATTCTCTTTTCATGTCTATTCCTGTCTTGTAATAACATTCATTTTGGAGACACTGAGACCTTTTCTTCCCCATACATTGTAAACACTTTTCATTCTACTTTGCTATTTATCTTGTAACTTTTTGCTGTACGCAATTTAAAATGATGTATAAAGACCTGTTCAATACTGCTTTTGTTCTGGCTCAAGTTCTGAGCATCGCAACCTCAGCGCTGAATGAAGAACTCTGGCTTGATATAGTTTGCTTTTTTGTCTGTCTGTCCACCCAAATGGTATGCCTGAACTCGACCCAGAAGGCAAAGGCTTTGGGGTTGGCCAGACACTTATCCTCCTAAATGAACATGAACTTATCTTCATGCTAACTGCAAAGGATTCCAAAGCCCCCCTCAGCCGTTTGGGGCCATTGTACAGAGTAACAGGTGCAAAAAGTGCCTGTATGTCACATGGTATGACTAAACATTTTAAATTCAGTACCTGTATTATTCTAATAAAACTAATACATGAATAATGAAATACACACCACTCACAAACATGCACAAACTCACAGAAAGCTTCAGGTACTGGGAAAAAAAATCTAGCTCTCTTGAATGAAAATGTCTATTTCCCCCCCCCAAGTTTAGCTTCAATATGATCCTGTTAGCCAAAACCACATTTTAGGTAATTTTGAGGTATACTTAGGAGAAAATATATTTTTAGTTGTGAGTACCTAGAATATTAAGGGTACTCATTAAGATAATATCAAAATTCTCCCAGAATTATATATTGAGTAAAGATTATACGTAGGAAAATTGCAATGTAAAACTGCAAGAATTCTTAGGAATGCAAAAGCTTATGTGTGGGGAATAATTTAAAGACAAGGGGAAGAGGGATAACAATAGTTAACTGCAACAATATTAGATAATAAAAATTAAGTGCTATTATTTTAATGGGAAAAAACCAATTTGAAATTGTATCTATTACTGCAAGTATGGCTATGAATGCATATAAAAAATGACCATGGTGGGGAAAAAACAGGAGATTTGTAAGCTGGGTAATAATGTGTTGAATTTTTAATTTCTATTCTCTTTTACACTATCACTTAAGGAATAAAATGATAATAAAACAAATGAAAAACTAAAAGAAAATTTTAGAAAAGGAGGAAAACAAAAACAAGAGCCTGACACATACATGATATTAAATGCCTGTTGTCATTATTTTACCTTTGTTAAAGACAGGAGAAAAAAAAATGTGTCTAGTCCAGTCACTGTGAAAGGAGGTAACACGGTAAATGACAGAAATGAAAATCAACTTACCTGGAATCTGGTCATTTCTGCCTTCTTTTTCTAGAGAAAGGCAGAAATGCGAGAAGGCAAAACAGGGTAATTCAAAAGAAGCCATGAGAGACAGGGCAATGTATCTTTGTGCAAATTAGAAAAATGTGTCCCTCCCCCTGGCAGATGCAGCCATACACATCCATTAAGGCATGGGCTGGATTCTAGCCACCCTCGCCTACACTGGCAGGGTGTCCTCATGCAGGGAACAGCTTGCACGGCTGTGCCCAGCAGCCTTCACACATCTCACAGCTCCCAGCACGCTCACTGTGATCCTGAGAAGTGTAGAAAAGGAAAGGCAATGGAATGTTCTGGTTAAAAATGGGCTCTGGGGACAAAATGCCTGTGTTCAAAACCTGGTGCTGCTACATAATTGTTGAGTAACTGTGGTTAAATTCATTAAGCTCTGTAATGCTTCAATTCTGTCATCTGCAAAATTCAGATCATAACACTGCTAACAATATAAGATTGTTGTTTGGATTAAGTGCATGAGTAGCGGAAAGCAAAGCTCTCTATTTCCTTGCAGCTGCAGATACTATTTTGCATCATAAAACTGCCCCTGCAAATGTATTGTGTGAGACATCTCAACAGGAGAGATTATTGCTCTGCCCAGGGTAAGTCACCCTTCGCATCTGGAATGTCTGTAACACTGGTTTCTAACTTTTATTTGTTGCCTCGGTATGCCAAATTGAGACCATCCTTATTTAAAAAAAATTTTTAAAAACTCCTTCCTAAAGTCAGAGAAGGTTCAGTGGTGCATCCTTCTCCCCACATGGTTACAAGACTAATGACACTTGTGATGTTACTGTTTCACATTAAACAAAAAATTTGACCCTCTGGCTCAATTTGTCAAAATCGCATTGGTGCTAAAGACACTTAACTCGCAGGGTTGTTTGTGCAACTCAGTGCTTGAGCTTTGGAAAGATTTGGAGACCAGAAGTTTAAATTTGTGGGTTCTTCTCCAAGATCTGTTACCTTATTACTGTTCTCAGGCAAACTTATTGCTATCTGTGGAAGAGAAAGAACTCCTCTCAAATAAATAAAAGAGACTATCATGAACTGTGGATAAGACAGAGTCTTTCAGCATCACCTCAGAGACAGTAGGGTACCTGCCCCTCCCAAGTCCCTGCCCACATGGGCCACTGTTGTAGAATCCACAGGATGTATGCCCAACTACCAAGAGCAAGTATAAACTTGTCTGCATAACCAGTAAGAAAGAAGTGACTTTTCCTTCATTTTTCCAACATTTACAGATCCCCTTCCAAAAGGGATATAGTTCCCAGTTAGATGTCAGAGTCGAGTGTACACAGGGTCCTTTGGGAGAGCATGGAAGGCCCCCAACCCCAGACTTGATGAGGGAAAACGATGGATGAGCTAAATGCAGAAAATGAGGCCCCATCTGAGCCCTGGAGGATGACTGAACGATACTTGCCACTCAAACTATACTTGCCACTCATCATGTGCTTTAGAACAGGGGTCCGCAACCCTCAGGCCACAGACTGGTGCCAGTCCATGACCTGTTAGGAACTGAGCTGCACAGCAGGAGTTGAGCAGAGGGCAAGTGAGCGAAGCTTCATCTGTATTTAGTCACTCCCCATCGCTCACAGGACCACCTGAGCTCCGCCTCCTGACAATCAGTAGTGACATTAGATTCTCTTAGGAGCACGAACCCTATTGTGAACTGCACATACGGGGGATCTAGGTTGCTTGCTCCTTATGAGAATCTACAATGCCTGATGATCTGAGGTGGAGCCAAGGTGGTGATGCTAGTGCTGGGGAGCAGCTGCAAATACACATTCACATTCGCAGTGAGGTTTGACTGCACAGAGACCATCATAAATCCACTGCTTGTAGACTCATCTCAAAACCCTATCAGTGAGTGGCAAGTGAGTTGATGTACTTCAATTGTACAGCTGCATCTGGTGGCAGGCTTTAAGTCAGCATCTGACTCTTATTTCAGTCCACATGTGACCTGTTCATTATTTTATTGACCACTTCTGTCCATATCTTTTTTTAATGATGAGTTGTGTAATTATTTTATTATATATTACAATGGAGTAACAATAGAAATAAAGTACACAATAAATGCCATGTGCTTAAATTGTCTCGAAACCATCCCCTGGTCCATGGAGAAATTGTCTTCCATGAAACTAGTGCCTGATGCCAAAAAGGCGGGGACCACTGCTTTAGAGGAACTGCCTCATTTAATCCTCACAGCAACCCAAGAGGCT